ATGGGAACATTTTTTTAATTAAATAAACAAAAAAAATCAACAATATGCATGTTTAAATTGGGGTTAAATTTCACGAGTAAGCATCAACGAGTAGGTAATTACATATTAAGAGTAAGATTAGTGTGTACTTTAGCTGCATCTTAAAAAAATAAATGAAAGTAGAATGAAATACAATATTTGTACATTTGCAATCATGTGACACCAGCGCCAAAATTTGAAAGAACTATTAAATTGATTTAAATACACATTTTTTCTGTCTGGAGAAAAACTGGAGAGAGAATTTTTTCTCTTTTCTTTCTTTTGAAATTAGTGAACTGTTTATGACTCAACGCCACGACCCATAACAGCTTTCTTTGTGTTCAACTCTGGTCTCAAAAGGATTATGTAACATTTGGGTCCAAACAGTGTGATCAAAAGTCCAAAACCTGAAGCCAGGATGGCAAATACCTCCACTGCATCTGCAAGATTTCCTGGTGAACTAATATAAGCAGGAACAAAGGCCACCCACACAGCACAGAAGATCAGCATGCTGAATGTGATGAGCTTGGCCTCATTAAAACTATCAGGGAGATTCCTCACCAGGAATGCAATTAGAAAACTGAGGAAAGCCAGCAAACCAATATAGCCCAATAACACTGCAAAACCAACAGTGGACCCAACTGCACACTCATACACTATCTTATCATTGTGGTATCGGGTGTTTTTATGTGGAGTTGGAGAGGAAGAGACAAGCCAGGTAGTACAGATGGCTGCCTGAATAGATGTCAGAAATAGAACTGTTCCTCTCTGCTGCATTGCACCAAACCACTTCAAACTGGTTCCCCCTCCTGGCTTGGAGGCTTTGAACACAGCCAGAACAACCATGGTTTTTACTAAGATGCATGAGACACACAGCACAAAACTGATCCCAAATGCTGCATGCCTGAGTTGGCATGTCCAAAGCCTAGGTCGTCCAATAAACAGCAACGAACAAAGGAAACACAACTTAAGTGACACTAATAGCTGGAAACTAAGTTCTGAATTGTTGGCACGAACTATAGGTGTTCTGCGATGGCAGATAAAGATCCCCAGAACAACAGCACATATAAATACTCCCAGCAAGGAGGTTGCCGTCAAACAAATGCCCAAAGGGTCATGATAGGAGAGAAACTCTGTCTTCTTAGGAATACAGTGGTCACGCTGGGGGTTTGACCAAAAATCCTCTGGACAACTGGTGCACTCCAAGGAGTCTGATACAAAAGGGAACATTGGTGAAATGCATAGTATTCTTCATAATAATGAAATTAAATATGTCATGCAAAAACAAAAATACGTACTGCTCTTATTAGTAATTTTTCCTTCAGAACAAGGGATGCAGTCAAAACAGCACTGGGGTTTCCCCTTCTCTCTCACCATGTGGGTACCAGGAGGACAGTTCTCACTACACACTGATCGAGGTGGCTATAGGATAAAATTACATAGCTTTGCTATGAGTTAATTAGCTTTTACACTGATATATACTAGACATATGCCAAAAGTTAACTTTTAAAACTCCTATCTAACCTTTTTCGATTCAAAGTTCCAGAAGATTCTGTTTTCATCAAGTATGAGTTCTTCACCTTCACCTGACCCCTTAACCTCACCCACACTTTGAACTTTAGTGCTTCCATCAGGGAGCCACAACCAGTTCATCACATCATAAATTGGCTCCACATCACCATTCTCGTCAAATGACACTTGATCACCAAATGGAGTGGTGAAGTTCACTCTTTCCAAGTAATAAAGAAGCTGTTAAAAAGGAAAGTATAATAAATAAATTACTTTTCACACTGAGGTGAAAAGTAACCTAGTATGGCATCCAGTATTAAATAATCAAATAGAATATTACATCACTAGTAAT